GGAGAGTCCTTCTCGATGTCCATCTCCCCCACCCCGCTGATCACGCTGGGAAAGGGAAGGGCAGGGTGAGGTGGGAGCTGGGAGAGATCATTCCCAACACTTTGAGGTCTATCCAGCAGCTCCAAGTGCTTGGGAGAGCTGGGATAAAGCATCATTCTGGGATCCCTGAGCTTGGCAGGGATATGGGGATTCGGGAATTGGACTCGTTCTCAAGGATTCCAGGATGGTTTGGGTGGGAAGGGACCTTAAAATACCATCCATGGCAGGGACACCTTTCACTATCCCAGGTTGCTCCAACCTGGCCTTGGACACTTCCAGGGATCCAGGGGCAGCCACAGCTTCTCTGGGAATTCATTCCAGCCCCTCCCCACCCTCCCAGCCAGGAATTCCTTCCCAATATCCCATCTAACCCTCTGGCAGTAGGAAACCATTCCCCCTTGTCCTGCCATTCCAAATCCTCGTGAGAAGATCCTCATAAACAAAGATCCCTGGGAAGGCACAGGGGCTGAGCTCTGTGTCCTGATCCCACACACATCCTGGAATGTGGGGGCCTGGATGGAATCCCACCAACACATTCCCTCATCAGCCATTTGAACCATCACCAGGCGGCCACGGCGCTGGATTCCACCCTCAGTCCAAGCAGGAAAACCTGGCAGACCCTTCTCCCTCACACCTCCAAATCCAGGCTTTAAGGAGAAAAAACGGGATAAAGCCACTTGGCAGGAATTTCAAGAGCTGGATGAGTTAATCTAAAATAAGGAAAGTGTGTGTTAAGGAGGCACCTCTGGAGGGTGGAACGCTGGGATTCCCCAGGTCCTGTGCTGTTCAGGAACAGGACTGGATTTGGGGCCTCCTCGGGGCTTCCCTTCCCGTTTGTTCCCGTTGCCACCTCGGAATCTTCCCCTGGAGCAGCAGCATCTGGGGACAGAGAAGGGCACGGGCAATTAAAGAGCTGCAGGGAGTCAACAAGAAGGTTTTAAGCCCAGTTTCTAATCTTGGAGTAAAGTGTGACAGCCTTGGGCTCATCCTCTTAGGGGGATCATTCCCCCAGGGCCCTTATCACTGTGAATCACTTTGACTCCGAGGCTCTTTCTCTGACCCTTTCTTTAGCCCGTGGGGCCCTGGGGGAATGATCCCCCTAAGAGGATGAGCCCAAATATAAAGTAAGGGCTCCAAAAACGTATAAAGGGCCCTGATAATCAATAAAGGGCTGGCCCAAAAAAAAAAAAGCACAACCCCCAAAAAAAAACAAAAAAAAAAAAAAAAGAACCACACCCCCCCCCCCCAAAAAAATAAAGAGCCACCTAAAAAATAAAGAAGAGCCAAAGGAGAGCCCAGATGATCAATAGAGCCCAAATAACATATAAAGGGTCCAAATAATCAATAAAGAAAGGGCCCAAATAATCAATAAAGAGCCAAAGGGCTGGAGAGCCCAAATAATATAAAGAGCCCCAAAAATATAAAGAAAGAGCCCCACATAATAATCAAGAAAGAGCCCCACATAATAATCAAGAAAGAGCCCAAAACATAATCAATAAAAGGGCCCAAATAATAATCAATAAAGGGCCCAAATAATAATCAATAAAGGGCCAAAGGGTTGGAGAGCCCAAATAATATAAAGAGTCAAAAAAATATAAAGCAAGGGCTCCAAAAACATATAAAGGGCCCTGATAATCAATAAAGGGCTGGCCCAAATAATAAAGAGCCCAATAATCTAAAGAGCCCAAAAAATCTACAGTAAGAGCCCAAATAATAATGATAAAGAACCCAAGTAATCATTAGAGAGCCCAAATAATAAATAAAGAAAGAGCCCAAATAATAAATAAAGAAAGAGCCCAAATAATAAATAAAGGGCCCAAATAATAAATAAAGGGCCCAAATAATAA